AAATTGGTCGGTATGGGAAGAATAAAATACATACCTTTCTGTGGTGTGGGAAGAATAAAATACATAGATACTTTCAAAACCACTTTATAAAAAATGCATTTCTTTCAAAATGGGAAAAAATAAAAGCAAAAATTTATATTAAGATACCTGGATGACTTTCAACAATGGAAGCTTTCGCTTACCCAAATTTAATTAATTACAACAAAGTTGTGACTTATAAAGATATTTTGGACAAAGAAGGAAAATTGAAAGACAGACAAGATTTACAAGAACAAGGGATTGGTCTATCATGGTGGCCATATCTGTAAATTCAAACGAGATATGAAAAAAATGCTAAAACAATGGGATTCTATAAAGAACAGTCAGAATTTGATTAGATACTGTTAAAAACAGATGAAAAGTTGATTAAGAAACTCCATAAATTTCTGTTAAACATAAAGATGGAATAAGAACAAATTAAAGAAACGATGATAATATGGCAAAGAACTTTGCATATAATATAGAATTAGAAGACAAGGAAAAGTTATGGGAAACAAATTTTAAATTAACTAAAGCAGTGGCATATAAAGAAAACTTATATAAAATGTTTTACAGATGGCATATGACAGCAGTGAGATTAGCAAAAATATTTAAAAATACTTCAAATAAGTGTTGGAAATGCAAACAAAGACCAGGTACTTACTATCATATCTGGTGGACATGCCCTAAAGCAAAAAGATGTTGGGTAAAAATATATTTATGGTTGGAGAAAATGACTAAAAAACAAATAGACTCTAAGCCAGAATTATTTTTGTTAGGAATAATAGGAGCAAATTATGAGAAAGATTGTATATAATTAATTCTACACATACTAACTGCAGCAAGAATTGTATTTTGCCCAACATTGGAAAAATGAAAAGTTACCAACTGTACACCAAGTATTAATTAAGAAAATTTTAGAGTGTGCAAAAAATGGATAGATTGACTTTAAAGATAAAAGAGAAAGGAGACTCAAGTGTATTTTAGAACATGGGATAATTTCTATCAACAGCTAGAGAGTTAGAGAGAAAGGAATGTGATATGTCACTTTGAATATATATTAGCAAGAAGAAGACAATTGAGCAATTAATTAACGTATTGTTTACGATAATTAACTATTATCTATTATTTTTTGTTAAACACATGAACTCAGACATTATACTGTTTGCTAAATATTGAGAATGTTATTTGGAAAAACCTAACCCCAACCCCAACCCTAATCCTAACCCAAATCCCAACCCCAATCCTGATTCCACCTCATTCCTAACCCTATAAAAACTAATACAATTTATACAAAAAAAGAAACATGCAATTAATACAAATAAGAGTTTTGGTCAATGGGACATATGCAATAGAAGTAATCTCTCTCTCTCCCTCCCTCTCTCTCTCTCTCTCTCTCTCTTCTATCGTCTATCTATCAATATGGCTCAGCAGTTAAAGAAGCTGAGAGAGTCTGGGTTCAAGGCCTGAGCTTTGTGCAATGAGGTGAGGTTCCATTTTTTTCTCCCATGCCATCATTCTGCTAAACAACTAATTCCTACAACACTGTCAGTAAAGCTGTATTACTATTATTCTCCTCATCTTTCCTATTACCTATCCTTATCTTCTTATGACTATAACTTTGTTGCTTGTATCTTAACAATTTATATTGTTTTATTTAGTATCCTAGTATGATTTATGTTGTTTGCTTAGCTAGTATCCTATGACTATCACTAAGTGTTGCATCTTATGATTTATGATGAATGTGTTATATTTTATAATTTATGATGAATGCATTTTTATGTTGATTATGATCATGATTTATCACTATTGCTTGTATACTGAGTGTGTGTCCAACCGCACTTGGCCATTTCTATTCTATTCTATTCTGTTTTACTCTACTCTACTCTACTCTATTCTACTCTACTCTACCCTACCCTACCCTACCCTACCCTACCCTACCCTACCCTACCCTACCCTACCCTACCCTACCCTACTCTACTCTATTCTATTCTATTCTATTCTATTCTATTCTATTCTATTCTTATCCCCAGCTCCTAGCAGTTCAAAAGCATGTAAAGGCAAGTAAAATAAATAGATACCACTTTGGTGAGAAGATAACAGCATTCAGTGTGCCTCAGCATATAGTCATGCTGACCACATGACCAAGGAAATATCTTCGGACAATGATGGCTCCCTCAGTTAAGAAACAGAGATGAGCACTGCCACCCAGAGTTTGGATATGACTGAACAGGGGAAACATTTATCTTTATATATAGATAGATTAGATATATAGATGTAGATAGATGTTATCAGCAGACAACTGATAGCAGACAAGGGCAACGCCACGGTGGTTATGAACACATCTGACTACCAAACCAAATTAACCAACCTACTCCAAGACTCCACATACAAACCCCTAAATACAGATCCCACCACCTACCTGGAAAAAACCACCAGATCCAAAATAAAAGCCTCCCCCATTAGCGAAGAGATCCAGCAAAGAATCATTCCCAGAGAGAAATCATCCAGATGCCCCAAACTCTATGGTCTCCCCAAGATACACAAAGAAGGAACCCCACTCAGACCTATAGTCAGCTCCATAGGCTCACCTCTACAAAACCTAGCCAAATTTCTCGCCAAACAACTACAGCCCTATGCAGAATCCATCACCTCACACGTAAAAAAACTCATTCCAGTTTATAGAGATCATAAAGAAACAAAACTTACAGCCCAGCGACCTACTAGTGAGCTTCGATGTCATATCCCTCTTCACCCAAGTGCCTATCAAAGAAGCCTTGACAGCTATTCAAAACAAATATAACCCCCCCAAACACATCTTAGATCTGACCAACCACTGCCTATCCAACACATACTTCATCTATAATGGACAAAAATACAAACAAACAGAAGGAGCACCCATGGGATCACCCCTCTCACCTGTCATTGCCAACCTCTACATGGAACACTTTGAAACCCAAGCTCTAGAAAAATCGGATCACAAACCCAAACTCTGGCTCAGATACGTAGACGACACCTTCATAATCTGGCCACATGGGAAAGAAAAACTGGACAACTTCCTCACACACCTCAACAGCCTACACCCCAAAATACAGTTCACCATGGAAACAGAAGCTAACAACCAACTTCCCTTCCTGGATGTCTTAGTCTACAAGAAATCCAATGGCTCCCTAGGACACACCATCTACCAGAAGAAAACACACACAAACCGCTATCTGCACGGTCTCTCACACCACCACCCAGCACAGATCAACTCTGTAGCCAAGACACTCATCTCCAGAACAAAACGCTTAGCTGATGAACAAAACCTAAAAACCGAACTACACATCTCACCAATGTACTAACATCCAATGGATTCCAAAGAAATAAGATTACAAACCTAATCCAAAAAGAAACCCCCACTAAAATCCAAGACAAAGAACAAGAAAACGGCAAAGCCCTCCTCCCATACATAAAAGGCACCACAGACAGAATCAGTAAGATCCTCCATAAACACAACATCAAAACAGCATTCTGCACAAACAGAAAAATATCCACCATCCTTAGAAACCCCAAAGATAAAATTGAATTAGAAAATCAAGGAGTATACGAAATCCCATGCACCACTTGTCCCACCACATACATCGGACAAACCAACAGAAGAATAAGTGCACGCATTGAAGAACATAAGAACTCAGTCAAAAAAGAGGAACCAACATCTTCCCTGGTCCAACACCTTAAAGCCACAGGACATGAAATTGACTTTAAAAATACCAGAACCATTGCCAAAAGTGAACATTTTAATAACAGAATAATCAGAGAAGCCATCGAGATAGAAAAACGCCCACACAGCATGAACAAGCGAGATGATACCTCCCGCCTACCAGCCATTTGGAAACCCGCCCTTATTGACAAACGACTCCCTAACACAAAAAATGATACCAGACCCACACTCACAAAAACCACACAGGATGTCACCACCACACATCCACGCAAAAAACAAACCCAAAGCCACACCGATGATGAGGCACGACCACAAACCAGAAGCCAGACCACAGCTGCATCATTAGCCACTTTAAACCCCTCCAATCCATACATGAAGCAAACTGACACCCTCCATGAAGATGAGGCACGACCACGAACGCGAAGCCAAAAAATAGCAAGGCAGCCCAAAATCTTAAACCCCTCTGCAACTCAGACTAACCTGAGCACAACCAAACAGAACACTCCCCCAGCCAATCAGAGCACAGCCAACCCCCCAGCCAATCAGAGCACAGCCAAGCCCCTAACCAATCAGAACACACCTCCACCCAATCAGAACACAGCCAAGCTCCCACCCAATCAGTTCATACCCCCACTGGCAGTTAAAAGGAAGAAACAGCTAAGACCACACATTGCTGCTCAAAGCACGAAGCTGAAAACACCAGCCTGAAGATGACGAATGGGACTTTGTCGAAACGTCGCCAAGACACTTCCAATTTTACGTGGGAGAAAACCCGAACAACCAAAGACCTACATACAAACACCCGCGAAAACCTCAGAAAACAAATATGTTATAGATTATATATATAGATATAGAGCTAGAGATGTATATGTTATAGGTGATAGATATAGACAATAGATATACACACCTAACTGAGGAATGAATGAAGTAGTAATTAACATTAACTGAATGTAGAAGCTAGCATTTTAGGAAAATGAACCTTAAAAATGCAGTGTTGTTCTTATCAAATCCTTTAAGATAATGTTTTTGTAATTATTCCCTATTGCCATTTATTTATGTTTATGCAGGTCAGCATGAACCAACGTAAATGAAGATGCAGTGAAACCCATAACTTCATGCAACAAGCGAATTTTAAGTAAAGTTTGACATAAGAATTCCCAGTCTAATTGTCAAGCTCAGATTGATTTGCCATCCAGGATTAATCAGAGTGAAAGGCAAAAAGCAGAAGGAATCCAGAGGGAGAGACTGGAGAAAAGGGCATGTTTATAGCTGCAAATAAAAGTATTTCAGAAGCCTTGGAAAAATCCTTCTGAGGGAAAGAATACCCTCAGAGGAAGTCTAATGAAATGTGAGATGTCAAGAAGTTACAAGCAATGAATTTTAAAGCGTTCCTAAGAGTGCTAGAAGATGAAGACCGAGAGCTGCAACATCTTCAAAACAGATGAGAAATTATTTTGCACTCTCTAGGTGCAAAGGAGCTGTTTCCCTTCTACGCTTCCCCATGTCTTGGTGACCTATTGAATAAACAGAGTCAGGCATTTCCACAAGAAATGCCAATTTCTCTCTCTATTTTCTTTCTAAACAATTTCCCCCTTTTCTTTTTAATGTAAAAGATCCTCGTGATCAGATTCTGACATGGCGGTCCATTCCCAGCCCTTGAATGATTCCTGTTCTAATAGCTCAGATCTCTTATTCACTGGCCTGGATCTCCTCTTTGAGCTGAAGCCGCTTTTCATTCCTCTCTATGCTCTCTTGGTGACAGTGGCCTGCACAGGGAATCTTCTCCTCCTCTGTCTCATCAGCTTCACCAAAAAGCTGCAGAACACCACGGATTTCCTTATTGGGAACTTGGCAGCTGCCGATCTGATTATGTGCATTTTCTGTGTTCCACTGACCGCCGTGTATGCCTTTGAAAGCCGAGGCTGGCTTTTTGGAGTGTTCATGTGCTACTTTGTCACCCTGATGCAAGGGACTACTGTGTTTGTGTCTGTCCTGTCACTTACAGCCATTGCCATTGATCGATATATTGTAATTGTGCATCCCATTCGCCAAAGGGTAAGATGCAAGTCCTGTATCTATATTGTGGCTGCTATTTGGATCTTATCTCTTGTGGTTTCTCTACCGACCTATTTACATACCCACTACCTAGATCTCAACAGTATTGGCCACGACATGATTATCTGTGAAGAAATCTGGTTGCACCGGAAGACAGAGAGACAGCTGTACTCTTGCCTGATGCTCTTCCTCTCTTACATGCTTCCACTTTCTGCTGTGTTGTTCTCTTATTGTGCCATTTCTTATCATCTCCAGAAGAGAAAGATCCCCGGAGCCGTATGTCAGAACCAAGAAAAGTGGACGACAAAAAAAGAAAAGACCTTCCAGATCTTGGTGGTTTCGATCCTGTGTTTTGGTCTTTGCTGGCTCCCCCTCCAGGTAGTTAATTTGATTAGAGATATGGATGAAGAATTTGCTATCCTAAACAAGCGATATGTGAATGTCATCCAAGTTTCATGTCATGTGGCTGCCATGAGTTCAGCCTGTTTCAATCCTTTCATTTATGCTTCCCTCCATGAGAAATTACGACTCCATATTGGGAACTATTTTTATCAGAGAAAGAAGTCAAGCCTCTCATCCCACAAGGCCTCACGACTAATTACCCATTTTGCTTTGGCAGACAATAATCCCGTGGGTATCTCAGAAAATGTTGAGCTACAAATGGAACACAAACACCATTTCTTTGAACCAATACAAGGAAACATGTAACATGGCGGCCTTCTCATTCCCATTCCAAGACTGGATCCCAGCTCATCCCATATAATCCTGTGATCATGACAGGATCATGACAGTTTTCTTTATTTTTTTTTCCTGAGGAAGTCAAATGAGAAATAAGTGGTTCTATCTTCTATCTTCATTCAAAATGAGTATTTGGATACATTGCATACATGTTGATTTATGTAGTGGAACGGTATATTTTGAACGCCAAACGTAAGTGTTAGGTTAGAATTGTCTTGTATTCAGCTGCTTTGTTCTTTATTCTTTCTTGGTCCTTTGGTTAAGATTAACCTTAACTTATGTTTTTTTCTGATGCCCTTGTTCACCAAAGTTGAAAGTTAGATGTGGCTGCACATATTGCACTTTTACACAGCATATTTTTACATTTGATGGCAGTGATTAAAATTTATAAATCAAAACTATTTTCAAGAATAAGTGATATACATGGGAATGATTAAGGTTAAAGTGTTGAATAAGGTAAATGCTTATGCCTACCAAATTTCTCTGTATGGCCTTACTTGAAATGTTTTTGTTTCATTTGTAATTGCTTGGAAACAGTGATGTCATCAGGGCAACATTACTAGCCAAAGTTTAGGATTCTTAATCCTGGAGCCGCCTCCCCCCACACAGATACATAAATAGAGCTACAATATTCTTCACCCTTATCATATTGTCTTGATCCCTTTAAAAAAAAAAGGAAACATAGAACATTGCACTGTAGATTTGCTTTAAAGTGTACCCAAACTCTTAAAAAAAAAAAAAAGAGAGAGAGAGAGAGAGAGAAAAATAGTGCCTGTGGTATGTCCAGGTAAAGAGAAAGGGACAGAAAGAAGAGTAAGCATGAGGCTGGTAAAAAGAAACACAGAGAAAAAAAGTCAAGAGGAATAAAACGGGGGTGGGGTGGGAGGAGCCAATTAAACCACAGTAATAGATAAATTGAACAAATTCCCCTGAAGGCGTGGAATTCCCACAATTCTAAAGCACTGGTGTAGAAAATCCTTTCTAAATATTAGATATACTAATGGTGGGATTCAGCCGGTTCGCACCACTTTGGCAGAACTGGTAGCTAATTTTTTGTTGCCCAGGCCCAGAATGGACTTCTGGAAGTGGCATCCACACAGAGAACCGGTTGTTCACATATTTGAATCTCACCACTGAGATATACTCAAAAACATCAAAATGAACATAACAGTAACTAATGGTAACATTTAACTTAAGAAATATAGTAAAACACAATTATATAATTTAGGAAAACAAGAGCCATTTCCATCAGCATCTTTTCAGGTTCTTTCAAAGGCAATCAGTTAATGAACAATCTGATTCTACACAAACACACACACACCAGATTTAAAAATGAATTTATTTATGCTTCAAAGTTCCTCAGTAAAGGTTCTTGAATAAAGCAATCCTTGAATAAGATGACAGGTTTTCTTATGGATCACTAATAATTACTGACACATAAAAGGTTATGGTTATCCCATAGTCAGCAGTTCAGTACAGGAAGCAAATGAATGTTATGACACAAGGATAAGAGATGTGTATGTGTATAGGATCAGCTTCAGTGGTGGGATTCAAATATGTGAACAACCAGTTCTCTGTGTGGATGCCGCTTCTGGAAGTCCATTCTGGATCTGGGCAACAAAAAAATAGCTACTGGCTCTGCCAAAGTGGTGCAAACCAGCTGAATCCCACCACTGAGTCAGATTGTTCATTACTCTGCTGATTGTTTTTGAATGGATCTGAAAAGATGCTAATGATAATTGAACTTATTTTACAGAATATGGAATCTACTTCATAAATGTACTAACTTGAATGTTTCTCAAATTTAATCATTGAATCCAACCATTTACAGAACTTCAGATTCACACATTCACAACAGATGCCTTCATCTTTGTCCAGTCTCAAAAGTGTGATAATACTCCTGTTCAACTGTGTCATTTTTTTCCTAAACATCTCTAGCTCCCTCAGTCACTTATAATATCATGATCAGACCCCTGATCATCTTCATTTTTCTAACTTGTATCTATTCTAGTTTGTTCTGGGGCCCAGAACTGGACTCAGAACTCAAAGGAGGTTTGACTTATGAAGAAATTGTGGAACTGTATGATAGAAGATCCTTCAAGGTGACAGGGTTTAAGGAATAATCCTCTTTTTCTTTTAATGAAAGAATCTAAGATGAAACATTTTCAGTCACCCCAAGGAAATGTTAGTTGTTTCAAAAGTCCTTACCTATTCTGGTTTCAAATTTGGAGGAACTTTCTGTGATCTAATTATTGTCTGACTGAGTAAAGACATTATCATTACAACCCATGTCAATCAATTGTGGGTCAAGCTTTTCCTAAAAACAATCTTACAGAAGATGTTTGTTTCATCATTTGTTTAGTGAGGGCTACTGTAATTTAAAAAGTATTGCCATCAACACTGTCCAGCAGTTCTGAACTGGGCAACACCGCAGAATTTCATAGAAAAAAACCAGCATCTTTTAATTTCAGACATGATATTGTCTGAATGTGTGTGCAACTAGACATATTGAATATTTTTAAGTAGAAATGTCTACATCACAAATTATTTTTCGCTCTGAATGGAGATTTATCTTGTCTTTACTAGGCTTTGCAAAATAAATTCCGTTGAAAAGTTCATTGTAGAAAACGGTTATTAGACAGATTTTTCTGAGAGCTTATGGCTAAGACTTCGTTAACAGAACTGCTATATATAATGTTAAATGCAAAACTCTGTAGAACGGACACATGGCACTAGAGGCAGAGAAAATGGTGCCATCTTGTGGCCACCTGGATTTATGAAATTCAGATATGGTAGCCCTAACCTGTTTTACTACTGTATGACAAGCTGTAGTGGCTAGATTCATGCAAAATGCTAAGCAAGCAAACCATATTTGTGTTTAATGTGCCAATCCATCCACACTATGTTTCAGGAAGCCCTCTTATAAAATGATACATCCTCATAAAAGAGAATGCTGAGTTCACATATTATACTAAGCCAAAATATAATCTGTTTGCTTTGGGTTAAGGACAATGTGTCGTCCAAGCTATAATTGTTTGTAAATAATTTGTGTGAATTCAGCCACTTGGAACTTTCTCCATAAATCATGGCTTAACAGGTGATGACTGAAAAAGAGAAGAGGAAGAGAAGGAATAAAGGGGGGAAAGGAGAAGGATCTTAGTGTTCTAATTCTGCCATTACAGAATTATTTTTCATGATTGCCAAAGATCAAGGCCTAGATTTATTTTTCAAAAATTAAAATAGGTAATATATGAATTTCACAGGGAGCACAAATAGTTAGCACAGATTTTAGTACTGAGCATTTTCATGTACAAGTAGCAGAGATTTTAATGCTTAATAAAAGAATAGCTGCACAACATAATTTTCACATGGTTAAATATTATTTGTAAAGGACTTAATAGGAAGATAATGAATACTATTGCTTATTTGCTGGTCTGAAAACCTCATTAGAAATTTATGACCCTGTAGTTAATTAAATAAACTATCAGCATACTACAAAAGAACATGGCTATTAATTTGATTAAAAGGTCTGTGCCCCTTTATAACAGCCAACTAGGACAGCTAAGTTCTATATATTTAAATGTAAATTGCCAATGAGATGCATGATCAGATTTTGCATTTAGCAAAATTAGTCTGAAAAATAGTAGTACTAATTAGTCTAAAAAAGTGTGATAAGTGCAAAATCTCAGTGCAAAATATGCTCCCATATGCTATGCCTTGATTTTGCAAAGTAAACCTTTCTGGGAAAATCATTTTTCAAATTAGGAATCAGTTGATTGCTTACCATTGATTTGGGCTGACTCTTTCAGCTAGAATGCTATTTTACTTCTGTAAAGTAGTAATTATTAATTATTTCTGATTTTCTAGTCACAAAGAAAGCAGTAGAAAGATAGATCGGATATTGCTCAGCTCAATTTAGCTGGTCCTTAACAATTATAATTGGGACCAGCAACTCTGATGTTAAGCAATGCAGTTGTTTAGTGAGACACCACATTGTGATTTTACTGATGGCTTCTTCATTGACTCTGCTTGCCCAGAAACTGGCTGTGAAGTGTGCAAATGGGCCTGCATTGTTTGTTTGTTTATTTATTTATTTATTTATTAAATTTGTTTGCTGCCCATCTTACTGCAAGATGACTTTGTAAAGCACCTGAATCTTGACTGACTCGACGACAGCCATAAATATGAGGACAAGTCATAAAGTTACTTTTCCAGTGCCATTGTAACTTGAAATGGTCACTAAACAGGGCAGCAAGGATTACCTGTATCTGCATCTCAGGCTCCTGAGAATCAGTCATGTTTGGGAATCAACAACTTCCTTTTTTTTTTAATATAGATCCAGCCCAGATGGATTTCATCCATCTGTAAGCCAAGAACAAAAATACATGGCCTAATACTAAATAACTATCATCATAATTTAAGCTGTTCTTGTCTTTTTTTTATTGAAAAGTTTTATAAAAATTACAGTATACACCCCAAAGCCCACCCACCCTAAACTCCCCCCCTCTCCCTCCCCCAAGCTGTTCTTGTCTTAAGCTTCTAATGGCTTGACTATAAACTGGCTTAAATAAATCATGGGCTTTTTGGGCTGTTTGGCAGTGAGGCTAAACTCCTAGTTGGAGAAATGGTGACAGTGCAAAGGTAGAATTGTGTTAGTTTTAAAAAGCATAAACATTGTTATATTGTAGTTATTAAGACAGAGCACAACTAATATTTGGCATAGTGCAGTGGTGACGAAACTATGGCACACATGCCAGAGGCGACACTCAGAGCCCTCTCTGTGGGCACGCACGCTGCTATTGCCAGCAGCTTGCGCAGGTCCATTAGGCTGCTGCCACCTGGAGCGGCAGCCCCACCCAGCACAAAGGAGGCGAAGCAGCCAGCTAGCAAGCTCAACTAGAGGTGGTAGAGCATGCCCATACCCAGCAAGCCAAAGGCCACCCCGAACAGGAAAAGCCGGATCTCTATAAGCACCATGGCCCCCCAGTCCCAGTAGGATTGCATGCCTCCTCCCATCTATGCTGGGCCTCCTGCCCACTGCCCCACCTGCCAGAGACCCCTTGGATCTCCCCCAACCCTGCCCGGCCTCCACAGGAGTCCCCCCCATGAGCAACATCGAGGTGGCCATGCCCACCCCAGTCATGCCCACCCAGTCTGCCGTGACAACTGGAGCCATGCCCACCCAGTGGGCCACGCCCCCCTACCCCCCCGAGGGTACCACAGTGCTGATGCAGCCCTGGCACTTTGTGATAAATAAGTGGGTTTTGGGTTGTGGTTTGGGCA